ACATTTGATTTTCAAATAGCTGGCTATATTAGTTTACCATCCCATCCATTTAGGGTACCAGGGATATAAAACATCTACCAATACTGAGTTTATAATCTCTGAAGTAAGATGAATGTACTCACCTAGTACATACTACATATCAAGCATTTCCCTTATGATATGTCATGCCACTTAGGTGTCAGACTACCTTAAAGACAGACATCATCACTGTCATCATCATTGTGAGAGAATGTCATTGTGGTCATAAGAAGTTTAAGATAGGGATGGCAAGGGGAAACAGAGGAGGCAACAGTGCTTGATAAGAAATGTACTCATTACCTTGCTCATGTAATTGTAACCCCTCTGTACGGTATTTTCACAATAAAAAAATATATAAATAAAATTTTAAATAAATCAAGAAAAAAAAGAAGTTTAAGATGTATCCGAGGTCATCTACCTCCAAGCTTCTCCTTCTTGAAAAACATTCTTTCCTTAAGAGAAGGCTGTAGCTTTGATGTGAAGATGTGATTCATTTCCAAGGTCACATCCAAGCCCAACCTACCCACCATGGACCCTTTCCTCTCATCGTCTGTTAGGAGGTCTCCTGGGGTTGATTACAGCCCTCACTTAGGCCATCTGTTTCTCTCTGAGCAGTAGAGATTGGATTTTTCTGTCCTGAAAGCAAGGTCAAAGCTGTTGACTTCTCTCCAGCTTGAGATGCAGGCTTTCAATTTAGGGACTTGTTATACAAAACTCGATCCAAGGCCACTCAGCATAATTGCTAGTTGTGGGCTTGGAAAACAAGTCATTTTCCTGGAGACCATCAACCAGCTCTCCATCACTACTCTTTTCCTTTCTTCTTCCTAAAAAAAGAATAGAAATTTCAGCCTTGACAAATGAACATGGGCTCAGGGATCATTTGACAGGTACTTCTGACCCAAAGTTCCACACAAATATCTTAGAAAAGGTGTGCTGACTGTTTTGATGAAAGCTGTTCTGGGTAGGCAGTGTCTTTCTAATCTATCATGTGCAAACAGCATTCAGTATAAGGGCTGCTCTTGCTTCTTTTGGTGTTTCTCTAACACAAGAGTTAGGCTAGGTTCAGTTGGCTTGCCTCTATGATCCTAACTATTCAGGGGGTTGAGGTCTGAGGATCACGATTTGAAGCCAGCGTGGGCAGACAAATCATCTCCAATTAACCAACAACATGCCAGCAATGGAGGTGTGGCTCACGTGATGAAACACCACCACTGAATTTAAACAAACACACAAACAAATGAAAAAACAAGCATGAGAGTATGAGGCTCAGAGCTCAAGCCCCAATACTGCACCACATACATATATACATACATACATGCACACAGACAGACAGACAGAGAGACATCTATAAATGATGATTCTGGGAGACTGAGTCAACAGGAAATACCTCTCCAGTTCTGCCTTCACTCTTCACAGTGGAGTCTACAGACAATGGGAAGTTTCCCTCACATTATGGGTAACACTCAATGAGTGCGGGATATGGTGAACTAAAGTATACCGGATTCCCCAGAAAGGAAAAGTCAGGCCTTTCCTTCCCTACTAGGTCCCATGTGTGAACAGTTCCAAGAAATTTATGACCACAATGATTGGGCCTGATACAAACAGAAGTCAGAGAAAGGCAGGTTTCTACCGCTGATACAATTGCTTAGATGAAGACTTCAGATAATTGAATACTTTGCTGCCTATCTTAAGTATCAGACAATTCTTTTAAATCCTCTGCTTTGCAGGTACACATTTTCTTTTTTCCTTTCACCTTCGAAATTTCCCTTTATATATCTAAGTACACATAGACACGTCTCCAGTATGCTGGAGACATCTCCTGGTGCCTTTGTGAGTGAGTCTATTTTCAGGGATTTGTGTTAACTTATCATTATGTTTTGGATCTTATCTTATCCTCTAGTGGATGCTCCCAAGACATTGCCATTATCCTTTGTAGTCACATCAAGATGTATTTGGTTGCAATTAAATTCTAAAGCTCTAGATTATCAATTGACCTGACCTTCTGTGTCTAGATCCCCTTGTTTCCAGTGAGAAAAAATTGTACAACATAAAATGGGCCAAGGTCCCTTTGAAGGATTATCTTTAAGGCTCATCTTTGAGAGTTGGTCTGAGCTCAGGAGGGCACTTACTTAGATAGATCTTTGGTCATTTAGGTAAACATTTGGTTTGTCATCTTGTTACTTGTCATCATTTTTTCACACAAAATGCAGGAGTTTCAAAACCACAATGAAAATACATTTCAAGGCATCTCAGAAAAGGAATGTCTCACAAGGTAAAAGTCCAGCAAAGATTCATTTTAGTCAAACACAATAAAGGAGGGAGACACAGAAAAGGGAGAGAAGAATTCCTGCATTTCACCCACAGGTGATGGTGTAAAGAAGGCTCAAAATGATTTTCCTTATTGAGGAGATGGAATCCCTAGTCATGTTGTGAAGTTTACAAGCATTGAGAATGGATTTATTACTGAGAATTACTGAGATTTACTCATTCTAGGTCACCCACTCTTTGCCCAGTTGGCTTGTACTGTGACGATCCTATTTATACTGCCCACATTTCTGGGATGACAGATCTTTGCCATCGTGTCCAGCCTTTTATTGGTTGAGGTAGAGAATCCCAAACTTTTGCCGGGGTTTTTGTTGAATCATTATCCTCCTGATCTCTGCTACCTAAGTAGATAGGATTTAAGCATGAGCTACTACCCTTGGCCTGATATAGTCTTTCTGGAAAAATAAGTTGACTCAGTTTGCTGCTCTTCTGGTAGTTCAGTAGATGTCTCATTTTAGTGAGTGGCCCTATTTTGGAGTTAAACTGTGAAGGCAAGGGAACATTTTCTTTTTTTGTCGGTAGTGGGGTTTGAACTCTGGACCTAAGCTCCTCAGCTCAAGGCGAGTGCTTTACCACTTGAGTCACAGCGCTACTTCCAGGTTTCTGGTGGTTAATTGAAGATAAGAGTCTCACAGACTTTCCTGCCTGGGCTGGCTTTGAACTGTGATCCTCAGATCTCAGCCTCCTGAGTAGCTAGGATTACAGGTATGAGCCACTGGTGCCTGGTTCTATATATAAACTCTTAATTCTGTTGCTATAAATTTAAGTCTAGGAGTTAAAGGACCTCAGCAATTATTTCTGGTTTCCCATTGGCTTTCTCTCTCTCTCTCTCTCTCTCTCTCTCTCTCTCTCTCTCTCTCTCTCTTTCTCTGTGTGCATGTGCACAGGTGTGCATGCTGTCTGGACTCACTAATAAGAACTAAAGAAAAAACACAGATTAGTTTGTAATTTGAGATAGGAGTTGAAACAATATATCAATAATGTACTGAGTACATTCTACATTCCCTGCTGCCGATATGCCATTTAATGCTCCTAGATACTTGATGACATGGATATTATTATCTTATTCCTTTCAAGAAATAAAACCATACTGGTTGACAGGTAAGTAACTTAGCATAGTTCAAATGTTGAAGAACTAGAAATAGATTCATAAAATTCATCTCAAAATTCTACCACTGGTATCACAGTGATACCAGTGATGCTGCTTCTTTGGAACAAATAGACTGCAATAAAAAATTATTTAAACTGGAAAATGTTTCTCCTTCTTGGGATTCCATTGAGTTTTTCTTTTTTAAATTGTGAAGATGCCATCCAGAGGGGTTACAGTTACATTACCTAGGTAATGAGTACATTTTTGCCAGACATTGTTACCCCCTCCTTTGTCCAATGAGTTTTTCATAATTGTTTTGTATTTGTGCCAGTACTTGGGCCTGAATTCAGGGTGTGTTCTCACTCTGCTTTTTTACTCAAGGCTGGCATGCTACCACTTAAGCCACACCGCAGCTTCCAGATTTTAACTGCTTAATTACAGATAAGAGTCTGTTGGATTTGAAATCAGGGTGGTTTTGAACCATGGTGCTCTGATCTCTGACTCTGGAGTAACTAAGATTATAGGCATGAATCACTGGTGTCCAGCTTATACTTGTGTTTTTAGATGTATTTAAGGAAGCTGTTATTTGGTTTCTTGCTTTTAAAGAAATTCTTTTAAAAATGTATGGACGGCAATCACTAATTCCTTCTAGGAATTTCTCCTCTTGGAGTCCTACAAGGTCCTATGCCAAGTGTTTGCTATCTTCCTTGTTATTGCTCTTGTCTCTGCCTTCTTCATTTATAGAGATTTGTATGATAAAGCTTTCCAGGACAATCCTGGTTGATACTTGTGGTCTGGTATAATTATTAATAGTTGTTCATTCTCAAAGCTCTATGGTTTGGATGATGTCTACATGGTCAACTTAATTATTCATCAGTGAACATGTCAAGAGTGTCGTATTGCAGGTTCCCACTAGGTGTCAGTAGTGTAACCTGTGGAGAACCCTCAGCAAACATTTCATTACAAGTCAAGTCAAATAATTAAGTGTGGTTTAGGAGCTACCTGCAGTCTTGACCATTCAAATCTAGTGAAAGAACAGGGTGTGTGGCAAGAGAAAAAGAAACAGATGCAGGACAGGTAGCTCCTTCCTGGAATCCAGTAGAATGGGACAGGATTTCTTTCTTCACTAAAGAACTCCACAGATACATGGAACGATCACTGTATTGTCCTTTCCAATTTTCAGTCACAAGACGGAACCAGTTGGCAATGAAGTGAGAAAACAGCTTTGAATGGAGAGATATTTTCCTCTTGATAAATTGTTCTTCAAGTCACATTCGGATGAAGGGCAATGAAGGTTGTACAGATAACTAACTGGGCTGTAACAAATTTACTGCAGAACTGCATTTGAACCAAGAAGCCAAATCTCCTGAACACAAATGATTTAAAGATGATTAGAAAGCACCTTTGTGCAGAGTTAGTAACACCTTGTTGTCTTCTCCGAATGACCCAGGAACTGCAGGTATTTTGTTGGTAACCCAGGTGATGCAGCCAGTCATTAGAAGCCCTCTCCAGCTCAGAGGTGTGGCACACACAAAAGCCAGGCGTGCAGCCCGAGAAGCCCAAAGTCATGGATCTCCAGGTATTTGTGCCTCTTCATTATTGGAAATCATTGCTATTGCTGCTGGTCCTTGCATGTTCCGAAGTATCTTCTGACTTGAATGAATCCACAAATTCCTCTGGCCAGCAAGTACCTGGTGCTTGGTTCGCGGCTTCTAGCTCAGAGCCAGGTGAAAGGATATCTGTTTTTGAACTGGATTATGACCATGTGCAAATTCCATATGAGGTCACCCTTTGGATACTTTTAGCATCCCTTGCCAAAATCGGTAAGTCTTCCAATGCCTGGTTTGGAACGTTGTTGTTGTTGTTGTTTCCCTCACATTGGGTAACATATGTGAGAATTCTTATAAACAATGCTCTAAATGGATTGTCATTGTTACCACTATGATATGAAAAAAATCCCCCTAAATCAATAGGAAGTCACAGCTATTAAATGCTTTGAGATTGTGGTTTGATATTTAAAAACATACTTCTGGGCTGTTTTGATTTCTTGTCCTTTCAGCATGACAGCCATGTGACATTGTCATGTAAAGTTTTAGGTTCTTTGTTTGAAAAAAAAAATAATATGGAAGGGGAATCACAAAAGACCTTGGAGTGGTACAGGATGGAAATTTCAGAAACCTCATAATTTTCTTCTGTAAAATATTCTGCATGCTTAGCTGGGTAATGGGATTCATCGATGTTTATTTCATGAATGTCATCCTTTACAAATGGACAGAAAACAAGGAACGAGACTAACACAGGTCTCTTGCAGTCCTGGTCCTCCAAGACAGTTTACACCCAATTCAAGTAGAGCTAATGGGGCAATTCTGGTTTACTTATGTAATAAGGTGAGTTCGTGGCAATGGATTAACTTCTAACTCAGGGTTCCTTATGCCTAAATCCAAAGTGGTGGTTCACACTCTGTGATTATTTAATTCCCAGTTGCAACTTACTGTTTCCTTAAAGTCAGCTTATTCCAAAGTGAAAAAAATCTATATAATTATCTAAATTACTAAGCATAGTATATTCTTTATCATCCCTCTAAATTTGATATTATTTGAGTATGTAGATTGATTTATTGAAGTAGAATATCCAGAATATGTATATATATCTTAGTGTATTGTATGTATGCATATTTATGCATATATATGTAGATTTATAAATGTAGATATAATTTATGATTTATATGCAATATATAAGATACAAATAAAGCTTTTGTGGGCATAGGTGCTGGAAACATATATACACAGAGAACACTAGGATAAATGTAAAATGTGGGTTGAGCCATGTGTGGTTAACTTCTGTATGTTTTTATCTGTCTGTGAAGGTGTTCTCATTAAGTGCTTATTTATAACAGCTATTCACTTTGAGCTAATGAAGTGTGAAGATTCAATAGGAATTGTCAGTTTGAAGAACTCTCTTGCAACTCTTAAAACAATTAAGTTGTACAAAGCATCTGAAGTTATTTTAAACAAGTGTTGGAGTAAAACTAGCTTTCTAAGTTGAAAACTGTCTCAGTTCAGAAATTTAACATCTTGTGAAGCCATGTTTATCCTGAAAATATTCCAGGTGGTCTTCTGTGGTATGTTGGTGCTCCTTTGTAAACATTTGTCTCCATGGTCCCTGCCCCATCTTCCCTTCCTTCCTTTCTAGCACTGGCTGGATAGTTAATTTGGGGATCAGGAAACTAGATGTAACTGATTGGCTACCCACTGGCAGTTTTCTCAATGAAGAAATGGCCCATTTCATCTTGGTTTTATCGTAGCATAAACAGCTCATGATTCTGACGTGCTGTGTATATAAAGTGAAGGAAGTTATAAGAGCATTGTTGCTCATGGGACCATTGGCTTAAAGTGATTTTGATTTTCGTATTGATACAGTTCAACATACTTTAGAAAGAAAAAATACCTAAATAAATTACCAGCTGGACCATGCTTATTCAGGTATGATTTCACATTTTCTAGGCTTTAGGAATCTAGATATCGACTGTTTTCCATAGGAATGTTGGAGTGAGGAGAAAAAGAGGCATAGGTACACAGTGTGTGTTCAGTACTAGGCTGGTTTTATTTATGGTGGCTCATTCACCAAGCACATAAAAACAATAACAACTTCCAATGTTTAATGCTTAAGAAATGCATATTCTTTTTAGATTATACTATGAAACCTGAATAAGGACACAATGAACAATTATTCATTATTTTATTCCTCCTTCAACCAAAGCACATTTACTACGTACCCACATGTATGTGGAAACGAACTGGCGCCTGACCTTAAAGGACTTAGTTCAGTGTGGAAGATGGGTTAACCTAGAACCTAGGCCTTCTGACAGAAACACATCAAAATATTCTAGAATCCATTAAAAACACCTATGAATTTATAAATAAAGCTGGTATACAACCAAAGTAATAAAAGGTCACTTCACACTTGGTGGGCTAACTTTTATTTTAGATTCATTTCTTGAGACATTGTGGAAAAAAAATGTTCCTTAAATTATTTGGAAGAATAGAATTGTAGGTTGGCTTTTTTTTAAAGAACTTTATTATATGGATTCATTTCAATTTCAGGCATAACTAAAACTATAACATCTTTTTTTTGGGGGGGTCCGGTCGTAGGGCCTGAACTCTGGGCCTGAGCGCTGTCCCTCAGCTCTTCAGCTCAAGGCTAGCACTCCACCACTTGAGCCACAGCGCCACTTCTGGCTTTTTTTTTTTTGCTTATGTGGCGCTGAGGAATCGAACCCAGGGCCTCAGGCATGCAAGGCAAGCGCTCTACCACCGAGCCACCTTCCCAGTCCCATCCATAACATCTTGAAGTGGCTGACTCAGGTGTCTCTCATGAAAAGAGAGACACTTTGGAAAAGAGAGACACTTTTGCTGCTTTGACTGTACAGTTTCAACTGTAGGCAGTAGAACATTGTGTCCATTTCAGGAACCCAGATTCCTGGAATTAGAACCAGACTGAAGAGCCATAGAGCCTGAGAAAAGTTACAGTATGGGCTCTCCCACCTTTAGATTGACGTGAAGGCCAATGAGATTAAGTTAGGAGTGTATGTGTGGGGAAGGGAGGTCCCTTGTTGATAATTATATTCCCTGAACTAATGTGCCTGTATATAATACAGATGTTTAATACTGTGGTCAGGGAAATGCATATCCTCTTTGGATGCTGAAGCCTTAAAAAAAACATTCACTGGCTTCTTTTGGCCTATGGGAGAAAGCCTACTTTCCTTAATTTTGAATTCAGGATCCTGCAATATTTGGCACAAAAATCATCATCTAAATCATTCTCTAATACTTCTCCCAATTCAAAAAGTGTTTCAGCCAAGTAAATTTCCTCAATGATTGTCAAGAACTGGGCAAGTTTTCTTTTTTGTGCCAATACTGAGGTTTGAACTCAGGATCTAGGCACTGTTCCTTAGTGTTTTTAAATTTTGTTTTGTATTTTGTTTTTACTGTTTGCTCAAGGCTGGCACATGACCACTTGAGCTACACATTTACCTTGGTTAATTGGACATAAGAGTCTCATAAACTTTCCTGCCCAGGCTGGTTTCAAACTATGTTCCTTAGATCTCAGCCTCCTGAGTCTCCAGGACATGATCCTTCGATCTCAGCTTCCTGAGTAGCAATGAGTACAGATGTGATCCACTGGTACCTAGCTGCTCTGTCTTCTCATTAAAGTTGTCATCTAACAGGTCTCTCATTCTGTTCTAACTATGTAAGTAGATATCATTTTCCAATGATTCCTTCATTTTTCTCACATGTCAAATGTCCCCAATGAACATTTAACCCATTCACTCATTCATTTCCATACTTATAGATTATTCTAGATATTTAGTAGACTTGGTTCTTGCAGATAAGACACTAGGCTAAGCATTTGGAGAAATGTAAAAGTCAAATCATTTGGTCTGAGTCTGAGAAAATTATAGGTTGATAGAAGTAAGTCATGCTCAAAAATTGTAGATAAATATCATTATTATTACAAAGTGACTGTCTAATTAAATTGCCTAGTATTTTGGAGAAACATTTACCATTGCCATAGGACAAGATGAATGAAGTTTAGCCTCCAAGTCTGATCAGAATTAAAGACCAGGAAAAAGAACAGTTTAAGCAATGATAATAGAAGATTAATAAAAGGGACCTGAGTGGAAAGGAATTTAATTGGCTCTGTATACAAATCAGGGAGATTGTGTGGAAGACAGACATGGAAAGAACCTCCTGGTGGATGCACTAAGACCTGAGCTCTTACAGTATATTAGTATATCAATGTGCATGCAACTATTTCTTTATGTGTAATGTTGTAGCTCTTGTTATGTATGTCTTATTACTAAAACTGTGTCAACACTGGAAGTGGCATAGTTTACCAGTACATAACAGAAGATTAGTCCACCAGTACATAACAGAAGATTAGTCCTTGTAGAGGGAGGCTAAGCAAGTAGTTTTAGTTTAAAATCCATGAGATGCTTTTCATGCCAAGAGGGGAGTGTGAAAATCAATGTAAATGATGCAGAAAACTCATCTGGCTGTACAGAATGGCCTGTGGCATTGAGGGTGAGAATTAATCATCTTCCACCACTATAACAAAATGTTTGAAATAATTAACTTATCACAAGAGGTCTTTCTTTGTCGTTGTTGTTAATGTACCATGTGATTTTTTTTGTTTCCTTTGTATATTCTTCCCCCTATGGTATATCCCCTGTTGTCACTATACTTGATTTTGGTACCCTGCATCTTGTATACAAGATGTATACATTGATCTAATTTGGGGAGGGGAAGGGGAATAACAAAACATTGAAACAAGGACACAGGCTGACCAATTGCAACGATTATACCCACAAGACAGTATATTGGAAATGAACTTTTCAATTCAGTGGGGAAAGAGGAGTGAGGGAGGGGGGAGGGAAGGGATTTCATGGGAGAACAACAAAGGAGGGGGTAACAATGCTTGACAAGAAATGCACTCATGGGGCTGGGAAGGTGGCTCAGTGGTAGAGCGCTTGCCTTGCATGCCTGAGGCCCTGGGTTCGATTCCTCAGCACCACATAAGCAAAAAGAAAAAAAGCCCAAAGTGGTGCTGTGGCTCAAGTGGTAGAGTGCTAGCCTTGAGCTGAAGAGCTGAGGGACAGCGCCCAGGCCCAGAGTTCAGGCCCCACGACCGGACCAAAAAAAAAAAAGAAATGCTCTCATTACCTTACTCAGGCAACTGTAACCCCTCTGTATAGCATCTTTACAATAAAATACACTTTTTAAAAAGAAGTAATTAACTTGGCAAGAGGAAAAGACTATTGTGTTTCACAGTTTGGGAAGCTCCAGTTCATGACTAACTCTCCCTCTTGCTTTTGGACCCGTGCTGAGCAATGCACCATGTCAGAAATATGGGGTGCAACAAAGTTGTCACTTCCTTACTGAGAAGCTGAAGATAGAGGAATAACTTAAAGACCTCCCACTCGATTCCATTTCTTTTCTGTTTCGATGTTAAAAATAATTTTTGTCGGAGGAGACTTTTAAAAATTATTCTTTACTGATACATAGGGTTTCCCATTCACCATGTCTGTTTGTGAATATCAACATCACCCTTTCAGCATTTTCCCCCATCTCTCCCAACTCCACCCCTCCCCTCAAGTTATCTGTTCATAAACTTAGATTGAATATTATGCCTGTATTTGTCCACCTTCCCTTTCTCCATTTGTCTGCTCCTTTCCTCTTGAACTCACCCTTCCCATGACAACGCATGTTCCAGCTTTCATTAAGCTCTAAGTTAAATGTTACTCCATTGGCAGATTCCACTTCTTAAGGGTTCCGCTAATTCTGGAGCCATCCAAGCCTTTAACATACAGGCTTTGGAGGCACATTTAAAACCTAAAGGGTAGCAGGTCATTAGGACAAACTAATAATCAGCATGAGAATTAAAGAGACCCTAAAAACAAAAGGCAGCAACTACAGCAGTAGAGAGCAGGTTTGGGATTTGGGGGTAGCTCCAAGGCATCTGTAGCTGACTGCATGAAGGAGCAAAGGAATGGCAAGTCTTTCCTTCAGTGACTGACCAGGTAGCAATGGCATTGGTTAAGTAGGGAGCTTTACCTTTGGTATATATCTGCCTGGTGAAGAGGGAAATGAGGTAAGTTGAGGTACAGGAGACATTGTTAGATTCCCCAGGAGCTATCTGGGAGATTTCGGGTTTTGTTTGAGAGCAGAACTTTCACTCTTCTCTACCCTCATACACTTCCCCAGGTCCATGCAAACTAGGGAAAACAGGAAAGCAGAAAGAAGAGGGGACAGGAGGCTGGGAATAGCTCTAGAAAGTGCTGGGAACCCAGCGTGTTGCATGCAAGTGCTTCCTTACAGCCCCCACAACACTTCCAGTTCTTTCTACAGATGGGACTCTGAGGCTCAGATCCCAGCAGACTTGCCCAAAGTCCTTTCTGCCTTCCTTCCAAAGATCTCTCTTGGGGGATCACTGGAGGAGAGAGAAGGAAGGAGCAACATTGTCCAAAAAAGAAATACGCTCCTAACCTGAAACAGTAACCCCTTAATAGTAACAATAGAAGTACATTTAAAAAAAAAAGACTTCTGGTGGTGGGAAACATGGCTCAAGTGGTGGAACTCTTACCTAGCACCGGTGAGACTGAGTTTCCATCCCTAGGATGCAAAGAAGACTTCAGAACACCTGCAAACACTGAAAGTCCTCTTTCTTCCCAGGCTTCCATCTTTACCACAGGCTGCCAGGCCTCATGCCAGAGAGCTGTCTCCTCATCATCGTGGGGGCTCTGGTGGGCAGCATCATCTTCGGCACTGACCACAAGTCCCCCCCGGTTATGGACTCGAGCATCTACTTCTTGTATCTCCTTCCACCCATTGTGCTGGAGAGCGGCTACTTCATGCCCACTCGTCCCTTCTTTGAGAACATCGGCTCCATCCTATGGTGGGCAGGCCTCGGGGCTCTGATCAACGCCTTCGGCATCGGCCTCTCCCTCTACTTCATCTGCCGGATCCAGGCCTTTGGCCTCGGTGACATCAGCCTGCTGCAGAATCTGCTGTTCGGCAGCCTGATCTCAGCTGTGGACCCTGTGGCTGTGCTGGCCGTATTTGAGGAGGCCCGCGTGAACGAGCAACTCTACATGATGATCTTCGGAGAGGCCCTTCTCAATGATGGCATCAGTGTGGTGAGCTGTCAGTCACCCATCTTCAAGGGGCTCAGGGGGCTGGAGCTGGGCTGAGGACAAGAGATGGGCATTAGGGTATTGGAGAAGGCAAGTCCGATTTGGCTCATGCAAAGTTATGGTTGACTTCAGTCTGCCGGGGTGTTGCCCAAGTTAAGTTGTCTTTCCTTAGGATCTGCATAGTGTAATGGCTCACTAGTTTCTTCATAGAAAGAGAAGAGAACATATATCCTTTTTGAGTTAAATTGTTTTCCACTTAGCTAGCAGAACTGATGACTAAAGACCATTCTGAGCTTCCACAACTTGTGTTTTGATTTCCTCTAATTTACTAGACCTCACCCCAACTTCATATAGACAGATAGACAGATAGATACGACACTGTATAAAATGAAGATAAGTAAAAGAGACAGGTCAGGAAAGAGGTGATGGAGGAATATAGAAAAGTATTATCCTCTATGTCATTCAGTGCAAAGGGAATAAAAAAAGGTGAGTGAAAACTTTTGCTCAAGAGACCTCTGGAGAAAAGCTGAGATCAGACAGGCCAGGTCAACACTGAACACCAAAGCTTAGGAGATCTCCACAGTCCAGGATGCTGTGAAATACTCACAACAAAATCATATTCTGCACAGCTCTGTGAATAACTACGACTTATCAGTTGTTAGTCTCTAAGACATTTATGTATACTTTAATGTACTTTAATTTTTTAGATGTATATCCCCACATGAACTAGAAGAATGTGATTCACTGAAAAAAAGGCAAGCAGTACAAAACTAAATACCATAAAGCACAAAAGTTTCCACTTACCCTCTCCTTACCCTTCATTCAAGAGTCCTACTTCTATCTATGTAGATATCTACTCTCCCTGATTTGTCATGTACACCCTTACCTATCCCAGCCATACTTGAATATTGTCCTTACAGTGACTGGGAGACTATATTATAGGTATTGCTTAGATGTAACAAGTCTTGCAATTACGTCTATGTCTTTTTCTGCTGTTGTGTAGTACTTTAAGACTAAGCTTACGTATAATTTATTTAACAGTTTTCTTGGTGAGTGGTTATTTAGATTGTTTTCACTAAACAAATAATGTTGTGATGAATAGTTTTGTTTCTGTCTGCTTCTCTTTTTTTCAGGACTGTATACAGGGCAATTGCTTAGAAATGAAATTTTCAGATCAAACAGTATGTATGTAGAAACTTGACGGGGAATGAACGCACATCTGTAATTCTGTTTACTAGAAAGACAGAAACAAGTCTACCCTGGGTAAAATGTTAGTGAGACCATATCTCAATGAGTAACTGAGTATAGTGGTATGCATCTGTGGTCCTTCTATGCAGGAAGGGTATAATAGAAGGATCATGGTCCAAAACTGCCACAGCAAAACATACAAGATCTTATCCTCAAAATAATTAAAGCCGAATTAGCTGTGGGAGTGGCTGCGTAGTACAGTGCTTGCCTAGCAAGCACAAGGCCTTTCAAAACCCTGTCCCATAAGAAATAAAAATGGACATATACTAGCTGTTTTCATCACCTCTTACTCATGCTGCTGGTAAATGAGAGAGTCTACCCTAGAGTTATGGAGACGGCCAAATATACAACACCTGACTCTAGACAGAGGAAATTGAAAGGAATGGAGAATGTACTCACAGTCCAGGTGAAACAACACTGTGAAGCTCATGGGGCCACACGATGGTTGCACTTGGGAACAGAGGAAAATACCCAGGGCTGTGGCAGATAAGATGACAAGGTGATTCTGGTTTGCAAGGAGGTTGCAAATGGGTTGTTTGGATAATTTTGCAAACTTTCAGGTAACTGAAACCCTCAACTCCGGGAAAAACAGGAGCTGTGTTTGGTGAGGAGGGCTGGGGAGCAGATATCATATCCACAGGACAGTGGATCCAGAGCAATGTAGAGTCAGGCCTCTTTGATTTTGCCCAACATCAAGGTAGCACATGTCCTTGAACTTGACAGCACAGCCACCAAGATTTTCCACAAAGTCTTTGCCAGCCTCTGCTTCCATGTGCACAGTATTGCCTGTCACTTCTTTACTTTTCGCAGAACACACTATTTCTCCATCAGGGACATTATCATATGATCTAAAAAAAAATCCCTGCCAAAAGAAACTGTTTATGAATTACCAATGCAAATCCTTTCTGAACTGCCCCTCTGCTCAAGGAATATCCAACCTCAGCCCGAGTTTTCTCTAGAGCTCACATCCAGAGCCAATCACAGCTTGGTTTCAGGTTGCAGTTTCACTGCCAGCGACATTTGCTTGCCTTTCTCAAAGCTTAATTGCTTCCGCATAGACATTTCTAAAGAATGATCATTTCCAAAATAAAGTTACCATTCTCCAATGAGAAGAGTTATCTTCTGGAGGCACTTCTGTGACCCTGGAGGGGGTCACGGTGGTTGCTCCAGTGAGGTTGACCACATGCCATTCTGCGGTCATCGGGTCACACACAGCACAGTGAGTATTAAGTGTGTGCCAGGGCTCTGTTGGGTCTCTAAGTGAAACCAGAGAAACCCGGAGACCAGATTTAGAAAGCAGCTTGAAAGCAACCCCTACTTTCTGCCATCCAATGATATTTTGAGCTCAGGGCTTTGAACTCACCCTCTCATTGAGCAGGGAGCAGCAGTCCGGTCCTGCCTGTTCAGCAGAAGGTTTGAGTCATCCAGAAGGGGGCCTGTGGTTGTGGGTACATGCTGACAACTCACAGATCTTTATCCATGAAGTGCTTCTTCCTCACCAATCAGAAGGAGCTGCTTGGCCCAGAATTGCTGAAATATCAATGCATCCAGCGCCATGGTTCTTACTTCATGGATTTCTCCCCCTTGCTGAGATTTAGGCACAGGCAACAGAGATAAGAATCCCCAAAATATATTCTAGCAAAGTTGCTGAAAGATTTCAGTTGTTCTTACAGAAAGAGAGGGAAAGAGAGAGAAAGAGAGAGAGAGGCAGAGACAGAGGTATCCTAGACTATAGAAATCATGTCATGAGGACATATACATTGAAAGAGAGTGCTTTAAGACAAATATATTTAAATATATTATTATCTTTTAGTTATATCTTACATATACATATATACACTTGTTTATGCATGTATCTATGTAGTATTATATATTCATCTATGTATATATTTAAAATATTTTATTTTAGAAATAAAAATGCTTTGAAGATCACTAAAATATAAAGATCATCTCTGTCAACACAAAACAGAGAGAGGTGCAGCTCTCATATCTATGCACCTTTGTATTTAGTATTTTATTAATTGTAGACTGTATTGTGAAACATGAATGGAAGCCACCATCTTAAAGATGAAATAAAATAAGCAAAAGATGTTAAAATAAACTAAACATAGACACAGCACTTGGCCAAAATGAGGGCAGACCTGAGTAAGTGGCTCTGCTCACTCCTAATCCTTTGGTATTTTCTTCTTAACTTTAACTTTTGAGTTGATAGAGACACGAGAGAATCCACTGTTATTGAGAAGAGTGGGCCCAGGTCTGGCTAGTGACAGCAGTATATAGAAGTGGCTGGTGTGAATGACTCTAGGCAAGACTCTAGTTGATTTGTGCCTCCTCTTGCTGGAAAATCGGGATGGCAATATTCCTGCAGGTTGCTGAAAGCTTCATATTCGATTTTAATGAAGCAAGTGCCAGGTCTGGATGGTTACTCAGTGAATGCTGGTTGTTAATTTGGTGTCAGCTCATAGCCGCTGATTGGTGGAAGGATGTCCACAGTGGGCATCTGATTTTAAAAATGGAATCACCACATTGATTGTGGGCAGATCGATGTTAAGATTGTGTTTAGACCAGGGAGACCTCCCTCGTCTCTCTGGATGAACAACAACCTAATAGCACCCAGGTTTCTGGCCTGCCCCATGTTGCCCTGTCTTTTACTTCCTCTGTCTTATCTGAGCGGCTTGAAGGACCAGGCAGAGCAGGGCTGTGGCTGAGGCCCAGGATACCTGCTCAGGGAACATCTTTGCTTTTGAGTGCCTTTCCAAGCTATCCTTTCACATTCTTTCCATCTCTTCTTCCTTTTTTCTCTTGTTTGTCACTCATTTCTCATAGGTGGCCTCTCTATTCAATCCTCTAAGAATGCTGTGAGTGAAGGAAGTGGCTAAACCTTCTGATCTCAATTTGATGCAATTACATTGATGGGTGCTTTATGTTGTTTTCCTTGTTCAAGCCTCATGAGACTTAATGAGGCAAGGATTCTATTCTCTAATTTGTGAAGGGAAAGTATGTTATAAAGGTCAGATCCCCTGGTCCACCTGTGTAGGCTTTTATCTCTGGACTGTCCTTTCTTAGAATGAGTTTGTCAGAGAGCTCTATGTACTTAAATTTCTTTAGTATGATTTTTATTTCAAAGACTTAGCCTCCAAGTGAAATGATTTATGGGTTATATGTGTGGAATTTAGTTCACATAGCCTAATACCCAAAGGACAGAGTGAAAAGTAGTCAATCCTCTTGCAGTGTTTAGCCAAAATCCCTTCAGCTGGGGCCATTGGTGGCATTTGTAATCGAGATCTTACTTCTCACTCGTTTCAGTTGGCCCTTCAATTTTGTACGTGTTCTTGTTGCCAGCATTAGATTCTAAATGCTGCTCATGCTAGAAACACTTGGTCCTTTTCCATTCATACATCAGCATTACTGATAGGCTGCCTTGTAGTTCTCTTTGTTTCTCTCCTAGCTGATCACTCCCAGCATCTGTACCTTAGGACCCAGTATCTTGGATCATAGCTCCAAGAAAATACATGACTGCATTGCAGGAATAAATGCCATAGGGAAAAAAATGAGTGTATGAATAAGGGAGGGGATATGCAGCTGAGAAGCATCTGCACACAGTGGGAGTGTTTCCCAGTGACTGGATGTCTCCATCCATGCTTTCTAAATGCAGGGTTTCCTTTGAATTTGAATGTGTCTGGGAAGTTGTGTGTAAATGGCAATATTTTCCTTAAGACAAATGGATGCCACCAAGCTTCAGCATCTATTCTAGA